CAAATGATTCCTATTTAACTAAAACGATCATAATTCTAGGAAACTTCAAAGAGGAAAAGTAGGATTCTTAGTTTTTCCATCATTAGAATCGTGGCAAATTCATAATTACATAGCAAACCACAAAACAAATTAATATTTGTATTTAATTTTCATATATCTGTTTATGAACATATTGCTATTTAAATTGAAGTTTACTTCAAAATGAAGACAAAGAGCGTTGAAAAAAAGAAGCTCTAATAACAATCCGTAATATTGTAAACCTTAGAAACATAAAAGTATTGGATTTAAGGAAAATAGTTGCACAATTAAATAAGGTAAAATCCTACTCAAATTTAAAGTCCTTAATATTAGAATTTCCTACATGGAAAGATTTAGTAACTAAAATTTTAATAGATTTCAAAATACTAAATATTAGGACGATAATTAAATGACTATTTTGTCCAGTGTGAACTCTATTTTTAAAGGATAAAAAAGGAGAACGACATTTCGCTAAGGGCCTTCGTGCTTTTAATATAGTATGTATAGATAGTTAGATATTTTTTTATTTTAAAATAAAATAATTAATTATAAAATATTAAGAATATATTTTTCGTATGAACATGTAAATAAGTTTTAATGTGTTAAAAAATATATCTGTATGTTATAAATTTATTATCAATTATTAAATATATATCTGTGAAAATATATTAAATAATTATAAATTAATAACTAATATTGTAAAGCATTAGTATCTTCCAAATAATTATTTTTTAACTTAAAATAATTAATAAGAATTTCAATAACAAATCTATTTTCTTATCAATTTATAATATGTAATTCATGATTTGTCACACTTTATAACTACGAAATATATAGATATAGATTTAGAAAGAAATTTTTAACAATAAATATTTATACTAATTAAAGATATTTAAAATATAGAAACCCATTAAGAAAAAGGTATAACGGCATAACATGTAACTATCACCACAATACCAATCTTTTAAGTATTGGTAGAAAAAAATAATGGTTTTGCAGATGCTAAGTAATAATAGAGGTGGAGCCAGGATTTGAAACTTTATATATTTGAAATTTTAGTCATTTTAAGTTAGTGAATTCTAAATTAGCAATTTATACGTATTCAATAAAATTTTGAAGATTATTACAAATTTTGAATTAAAGTTATTGGATTCGGCCAACACTTAACCCATAAAAAAATAAAAAATAAGAAGGAAGAAGGAATGAATTTGCTAAGTGCTAAGCAATACATACCTGGAAAGGAGGCCACCAACTTTGGAAAGAGAAAGTCAGAAGGCACAAAGAAATGGAAGAGTTTTAATTTTTATATAAATAGCCGGTTATATTCATTATTTACTTTTCTAGCCATATACATAGTTTATACATTGATTATACATAACTATACACATATAGTACATATATTATGCCTTCAAGGCTTCAACTGCTATTTTTAGTTTTAATGGTTGGGTGAGCGGCTATTTGGGTTAATTCTTCTTCTTAAAAAGCCACTTCGTGATCGAAGAGTGTGATTACCTTAAATTCTTTGCTTCTCTTGAGAATCTGAAAGTGTAATTGTTCCCCTGCAATTACATTCAAACTAAGTAATCGTATCCAATTATACCTTAATCCAATTACAAGATATCTTTCCAACCAGGCCCTTAGAAGGTATGTCTCAATTCCTGAAACTAAGGAATGATTCACTCTTTATGGAACAGACTGAATCTAATCTAGTCTCAGCCATTTTTATATAAATAATCGGTCGAATTTATTGTTTACTTTTTCTAGCCAATATATATAAATTATACATAAGGGTTACACAAATTATCCATGGATTACACATATATTATATATCAGCCGGCTATTTTTAGTTTAAGCAATTAGATGTATGACAATTTAAGTTAATCCTTCTAGTTTGGACCAGTCCCATCTAAGCCCAATTCCTGCTTCAAGTCCAGCCTGAAGTTCTAGCAACCTAAATAAATTTGTTTGCCGAATATATATAGAGCCCATTCAACTTGGCATCATTTTTTATTTTGGCACTCTATCTCTACCTTGTTTCATTTTGGCCCTCCAACTTTATTTTATATGTTTCATTTTGGCCCACCAATTCTACTTTTTATGTTCCACTTTAACACAAAAGTTGAAATCAGTGCAAAAAATATAGCGCGTGTGTATACACAAATCTAAGGTATAATAAATATTCAATTAAATGTTGTCACCTTTTTCCATCCATGTCAAACGGGTCAATACTAAAATACCTGAACCCTACCATATCTTTTGTGGGTTTATTTCATCTAAACGGGCCAGGTATGAAATCGGCAGATGAAAGCTTTGGAACTTAGAGAATGAAGATGGGGCAACAGTGGATGAAAAAATAGGGTCGGGTTCGGGTATTTTAGTATTGACTCATTTGACATGGATGAAAAAATCAGGTGGCAATATTTAATTGGATATTTATTACACCTCAGATTTGTGTATACACATGCGCTATATTTTTTGTACTGTTTCAGCTTTTGTGTTAAAGTGAAACATGAGAAATAGAGTTAGAGGGCCAAAAAAACATATAAAATAGAATTGGAGGGCCAAAATAAAACAAGGTAGAAATAAAGTGCAAAAATGAAAAATGATGCCAAATTGAATGGACTCTATATGTATTTGGCCAAATTTGCTTTAGGCTGCCTATCATTCACATCCGGACATAGAAGTGTTACTAGTAAATTTTGTACCAAATGCAATTTTAACTTTTTTATAATCAGCATATTCCTACCTTAGAAATGGTGTTCATATAAAATGAAAACTTAAATTGAGACGGTAGGAGTATTTAGAAAAACAAAAAGAAGGATAATCGATACAGTGTCTCATTCGGGTCTAACAATCAAAATAAGTAAGAGTAGAAGTAAGAGCACAATAAAAAGGACACAAAGATGAAAATTTTAAATTATTTGGTGAATTTTAGGGAAAAAAAAATAGAAATAACCTAATTTACAAATGATAATTGATAAATAGTCACAGTTTCATACTCTTTCCTTTCCACTTTATGTGAACCTATTTCCTTTTTGGTGCATTCCAAAAAGAATGACCCCTTTTTAAATTTGGAAATAATTTAGCTTAAACTTCCAATTCTACTCTTAATTAGAAGCTTCTATAACCACATAAATACCCTGGACCCTTTTTTGACTTGTTTAGGACCAGAAATTTCAAAAGTCTTCATTTTTTCTTAAACTCCGTGCCCAGTCAAATAGATTCACATAAATTGGAACGGATGACGTAATTAATAGAAATTTAGCCACTTTTTCATATAAAGATAAAATCTTAACAAAAACACCCTTAAAAATCGAAAAAATTCTAGCATAATGTGCTGGAGTTCGAATTTTTTACATATGAGATTCCAGCATAATGTGCTGGAATTTCATAATATGCTGGAGTTTCAATATACACAGGAGCTCCATAATTCAGTATATTATGCTAGAACTTTCTGTGTTTCAGCTAAAATAATGATTATTTTTCAATAACTTTACAAACTCTAATTATTTTTCGATTACCGGTCCGAAAACGGACTAGCCCTTGCTAGTTTCACAAATTTTAGTAGTAATCAGCTTCGTGAATCGGCCAAACTTATCATTATTCTCACTATTAATAACGGAGAAGGGTCAAAAATGCCCATGAACTATTAAAAAAGGTCCAAAATTACCCTTTATCCATCTATTGGGCTAAAAATACCCTTCCATCTTCCTTTTTGGTTCACTTATACTCTTTAACCATTAGGTCAATGCTGATTTTAAAAATAATTATTTAAATTCCACGTGACAACTTCTTATTGGTCAAAATTAAAATATCTAACCTATTAGAAAGACCCACACATATCTACCCATTTTTCGGACTAACACGTCCCAACACTAACCTGACCCGAATAAAAAGTTCAAAATAAAAAAAAGACGCCCCGCGTGACAACATTACCAGTTTGTTCTTCCTAACAACGCAGTGCTAGTAAAGAGCTTATATGAGTAAGTTCCCAAGTAGGTGCTTCCGGATATTCTACATTTCTAAGCATTGAGGAACTGTATCTTAACCTTTTTGGAACACTGGAGAAAAATATCAATCTTCTTGGAGCTCACTTGATGTAGCGACGAGTTGGTAGTGATATACTTTGTAGATTTTGAAATCATATAACTTTCTATGTCACTGTTTTGGTAGATTTTGGGGCCTTTTTTTTTAGTTGAACTTTTTGTTTGGGTTGAGTTAGTATTTGAAGCGGGTTAGTATGAAAAACTGGCAGATATGAGTGGGTCTTTCTAATGTGTTAGATATTTTAATTTTGGCCAATAAGAAATTGCCACGTAAAATTTAAATAATTATTATTTTTAATTCAGTATTGACTTAACGGTCAAAGAGCATAGGTAAACCAAAAAGGTGGATGAAGGGGTATTTTTAGCCCAATATATGAATGATTAAATCTTTTTCAATAGCTCAGAGGCATTTTTTACCCTTTCCCGTATTAATGAATTAGCAATTAGAAATAGGAGAACAGAAAGTTGTACAAGTTCCTCAAATTATCTGTCCTAGTTTTTATTTAAACATTGAAGGAACAAGTCCAACTTGACAAAATATTGTACGACTTTACAAGTGGCTCTTTGATACACTTCTTTTGTCGACACCGTTAATTTAAATAGTCGCATAATCTATTGTTTATGAATTTCTCAAGACTTTTATAAATATATCTGATATAAATTATGAATTCATAATTCTTTTTTTTTATATCTAAATATATTAATTTTTGCAAGACATACTTAAAGCATAATAATTTTCGTGTCCACTCAATTTTTGTAAGTTATTATTTATAGTGGAACTTGTCTCCTAATCAATAAATTATAGTACTCCTAATGGATAATTATTAGTGGTTGTAGAAAAATAAAAAATAATGAAATTATTTAGTGGTTTACCAAACTTTCACCAAAAAGAAAGTGGCGATATTCCGATATTTTATAGGTTTAGGGTCGGCCATCAGCTGCTGCCTGCTATATAAAGGGCTTATTCCTTTCTCTTCCTTTCATTCTTCTCTTCTCAATTGCTGATCACAGTTTCCTTCTCCAACAAAGCTATCTATTCTCTCCTTTTCCGATTCCCAAAAAACTTTCAAGGTACCGATTCTTCACTCTTTTTTCCCCTGTTAATCCTTTTTTTCTTGTCTTAATACGTTAATTTAGATCGTGTTTGGATCTTAATTCATGTCTGTATTTGTTTATGTGTTGTTTATTTGTGTTTTTTTAATTTTATGCGTTTTTTCATGGTGTAAGAACATGATTAAATTGGTCTGAGGCCCTAATGAATTTTCAAATAGTTTTTTTTTTGTTAATTCTTCAAGTGATTTGTTTGACTTGTTTATTAGAGGACTAGATCTCAATTAGTCCTCTTTAAGGTCTGTTTAGTTTAGCTTAGTCTAATCTAATAATGGAGTCAAAATCTTATATTCCCTCCCGGTGGATCTTTTCGGGCTACGAAGGTTAAACTAATTAAGATTCGATGTGAATTTGGACATACAATTTTCAAAATATTTGAATAAAATTTGTATATTTTGAAATTACGAAAAAGTACTATAAGTCACAATAGTTATTAATTCAAAATATTTATAAAATATTTGCAAAATACGTGATTAAATTAAACCTGGTTTGACTCCGCAGATAGTAATAGATTCACCTAATTGAAATAGAGAGTATATAAGAACAGCACAAGGTTTACATGAGTTGCGCTGACGTAGATTGAATCCACTTTTCGTTTTGTTAATTGTCATTTTCGATGGTGTTTGGCTCTTGATTCATGTGTGTATGTGCTGTTGTGCTCCTTGTTTGATTTTTTTTATTAGTGATAACATGAATTGATGGGTGTTTTAGTTTTAGTGTCGTCAATTATATCTATACCAGGTAGGATATAAAAGTTGATTGAGTCCCTAATGAATTCTTCAATTAGTTTTCTGGCCAAAGCTGACAAAACGTGCAATTACCTTAGGTGGTGACCTCAGGGGGTAAAAACATTTAGGGTGCAGTGGTGGTGGCAACAAACACTTATTTCTTCAAATAATGCATGATTCCTTTAGTTTCCTTTTTTAAATTTTTGACATATCCCCATTTGTTTCATATTAATATTCTCATTTCATTTTTTTTATCCTAACTTCAATTGTCCCACGCAAGAAAAGTTGATATTACTTATAATATGATAGTATAAGTAATTTAGGCGTACATATTAAAAAAAGTGAAAGTGGCTATTTAATGCTATAGAAGAAATGATTACTGTTAAAAGAAAGAGATTAAAATGTAGTATAATGACATGGATTAGGAAAATCCAAGGATGCGGGTCTTTTTTAAAAGTTGTCACTAACTTTTGTGGTGTATTTGATTTTGATCCCTGGATTATTGAACCAAAGCTGTCTTTTAGCATATAAGTATATTGGCTGAACGACAATATTGGAGCATTGTTCTTTATAATGTGATTGAATTAGTTCAAAATTTTCTTGTGATTCAGAAGCATAGCCTTGTATATGTGCATCTAAGCATATTACTGTAAAGTGAAAAGCTTTATTCTTTGAAATGCAGTCCATTATGTTACTATTCTTATCTGGCATTGTACTTAAATTTCAGAATATTTTTGCACAGGTTGAATTAGGTCAGATTTACTGAGCGAAGTATTTCTTTCATATCTTCTGCTGATAGCTCTTGGTTTTGCAAATCATATTTGCCTTTTTAATGTGAATACTGTTACTTTATAAAAAATCTCAAGCCTGTTTAGTGTTCTTATCGGGAATTATACACAATATTTGTATATGCTTGATTTTGGTTTTGCTTCTTTAGTTTAATAAAATATGAAATATGATAATTTTTCTGTTATGTCTAACACCCCTTTATTTGGTGTAATTACAGATGCAAATCTTTGTAAAGACGCTCACCGGAAAAACCATTACTCTCGAGGTTGAGAGTTCCGACACTATTGATAATGTCAAGGCTAAGATCCAGGACAAGGAAGGAATCCCTCCCGATCAGCAGAGGTTGATCTTTGCTGGAAAGCAGCTAGAGGATGGCCGCACTCTTGCCGACTACAACATCCAAAAGGAGTCCACCCTTCACCTTGTCCTCCGTCTGCGCGGTGGCATGCAGATCTTTGTGAAAACTTTGACTGGGAAGACCATCACCCTTGAGGTTGAGAGCTCTGACACCATTGACAATGTTAAGGCGAAGATCCAGGACAAGGAAGGCATCCCTCCAGACCAGCAGAGGTTGATTTTTGCTGGTAAGCAGCTTGAGGATGGACGAACTCTTGCCGACTACAACATTCAGAAGGAATCCACCCTTCACCTTGTCCTCCGTCTGCGTGGTGGCATGCAGATTTTTGTGAAAACTTTGACTGGGAAGACCATCACCCTTGAGGTTGAGAGCTCCGACACCATTGACAATGTCAAGGCAAAGATCCAGGACAAGGAAGGCATCCCTCCAGATCAGCAGAGGTTGATTTTTGCTGGTAAGCAGCTCGAGGATGGACGAACTCTTGCTGACTACAACATCCAGAAGGAGTCCACCCTCCACCTTGTCCTCCGTCTGCGTGGTGGCATGCAAATTTTTGTAAAGACCCTCACTGGCAAGACCATCACTCTCGAGGTTGAGAGTTCCGACACTATTGATAATGTCAAGGCTAAGATTCAGGATAAGGAAGGAATCCCTCCTGATCAGCAGAGGCTGATCTTTGCTGGAAAGCAGCTAGAGGATGGCCGCACTCTTGCTGACTACAACATTCAGAAGGAGTCCACTCTTCACCTTGTCCTCCGTTTGCGCGGTGGCATGCAGATCTTTGTGAAGACATTGACAGGGAAGACAATCACCTTGGAGGTCGAAAGTTCTGATACAATTGATAATGTGAAGGCGAAGATCCAAGATAAAGAAGGGATTCCACCGGATCAGCAGCGATTGATCTTTGCTGGTAAGCAGCTTGAGGATGGGAGGACCCTTGCTGATTATAATATCCAGAAGGAGTCCACACTGCATTTGGTGCTCCGTCTGAGGGGAGGGATGCAGATTTTTGTCAAGACTCTAACTGGGAAGACCATCACTTTGGAGGTGGAGAGCTCAGATACTATTGATAATGTGAAAGCAAAGATTCAGGACAAGGAGGGTATTCCACCAGATCAGCAGAGGCTGATTTTTGCTGGTAAGCAGCTGGAGGATGGTCGTACCCTTGCAGATTATAACATCCAGAAAGAATCCACCCTTCACCTCGTGCTTCGTCTCCGTGGTGGCTTTTGAGAAGTTAACTCCTCCGTTTAAGGATCTTGAAGACTTCTGTGCTTTCCTTTAGTGGCTTTTGTTATGCTTTGTGTTTGAACTGTTGGTTTTGTTTGAATCCTAAGACTTGCATGCTATGCCTTATATGGCATTGATTACGTTCTTTCTGTCAAGACAGTTGTTTTTAGCTGTTGGCTTCGTAAATAAATTTAGTTTGTGGTACATCTCTTTGTTTGGTGTGAGCATATTTCTGGAACTCCTTCGACGAATTATCAATCTATATTATATGTTTACGTACGGCTGTTTTCAGATTTTATGGGTTCACATGCGTTTGCCCCATTTACGAATATACTTTTCAGCTAAGGAGTCAGTATAATGATAAAGCCCATAATATTCAGCTAAAATCAGACATTCGAGTTCATATTTTTCAGAAGAATCAAACATTTACAAAGTATTTGCTATAGAAATAAAATGTAAATATTTAGTAATTATATAAAAGTACTTCAGATTACAAAAATTAAAAGAAACAGAATGTATAGCTGGAAAATGTAAGTAATATTGTTCAATGGTTAGATCTTCTCAATGTTAACGTAATAGAGCATGTCAAACGCTCGTTATAATTTACAATCTTAATATAATGAATTAATTTTCAAATTTTTGGCAGTGTCGAAAATTTGATTCATATACATAATAATGTAAAAGAACTAGTAATAATCAGCTCACAAGCACTGACTACTCAAATGGACAAAGTAATTTCACTTCCTGGAAGCATTTAACACACTGAATTCTTTTTATCTCCGACGCTGAATTTCTTTTGGTCAAATCTATACAACCCAAGATTTAACAAAATGCCTGTGTGGAATTCAAAAGAACTAACAATCATCATCAACAAAAGAGAGTATTCAGTCCCTTCAAATGGACCATAACTTAATCTGGGGAGGCCAAAACTTGGATGGAAGCTGCAAACCATCATATAACCAATGTATCTAATTCACATCAAAATACATGTGGCGTGCCCCTCGGAAAGCATAATCTAGCAAATTCAGAACCAATCGAATGAATCTGGTTCAGGACTGTAATCTTGTTTGGAGATATTATGTACTATCCTCCTCCTTGCCAAGTTCCAATTAGATTAATTTGGCAAGCCAATGGTAACAAATCAAAGTATCAACCTCCGGATGTTCTTCAGACGACAACCAGGCTTCCAGCGAAGTCATATCTGTCTCATGCTACATTTCAACTTCTCAGATTCAAGTTCTTGTTTCAAAGATTCGAGCCGTTCAAGCAAGTCAATGTTTTCCTGGTGAAATCAAACACATTGACAAACTATTAATCGAACTGTGAGTTGTGAGAATGATGATACGCATTACGGAGATAACAATTCATAGAACTTCACATTTCTAACAAGAAAGCGGCCAATTGTAGGGTAAAAGAAGAAGAAGAAGAAGAAGAAGAAGAAGAAGAAGAAAGAGAGACATCAAGAAAATCGTCTCAAACATGCACCTTTTGCAACATGTCCAACTTCTTCTTACTGCTGGCGGCACCGTCTTCCTTCAACAACAGCTTAATCTACACAAAAGCCACATGTTAATAAACTAGCAAATGAGGTGCAACAGTTAACCCACTTTGTAAGTAAAGCATGTATGGGAAGAACTCCATATCTTTGACTTCAAACAGGAGCCCAAATTTAATATCTATCAATGCGAGAAACATGCCTCAATAATCAGATGATGCAAAATGAAAGGTTTTACATGTTCTATGTCCTAAGCATAACATGGTCAACCCAATAGCAAACAATATAAACAATGCATCAGTGACCGGATATATAGCAGTTTTCGTGTGATCTTTAAGCTCTTTGCGATCAGAATGGAAGGAAAGAGGGGTTCAGAGAACAAGATAATGAAGAGCAACAGGAAGTTCAACATTTGGCACAAAACCTTTCCTTTTAAATTGAACTATTCTATTTCGTCTTCCCACTCATTTGAATGTTTTAATGTTGCATTTGAGAATAAAATCAAATGGTCAATATGTAAGTGAATATTAAAAAGGATAAGTGATGATATTAATGCCATAGTTTTCATCCTTCACCTCATTCCTCTACATATTTTGTGTTTCATTCAGCTTATACAGTTTGCAATAATTTTAATCATTTTTCCTTATTTGGGCAATTTGCATAAAAAACCATCCGTGACTTGCAGATCTGCTGCAAACTGCATTACACAAAATTTCTTCATAATTTTGTTCCCAAGTTCCTTTCTTTTCTGAGAACATAACCAGGAGTTACCGCCTCCTTAAAATCTTGGGAATCATCAAGTAGATTGTTTCAATACACTTGATTAGACAATAGGTTATTCCTTCTTAAACATTACAACAGGACCTGGTAGTAAGATTAATCCTTTTCCAACTAATTTGAATTAGTAGAATCTTCACAAGAAATGCCAACTGGTGTCCTCTCTCATCTTCAGTTTTAGATAAGATCAACTTTAATCACTATCAGAACTCGGCAAACTGATTCTACCTCTTCACCACCATCAGAATTCGTAGCTAAGGGCCTTACTCACCTCTGATTGTATTCAATAGTGATTTCTACCTACACTATAACTCAGAGATCAAAAGAATTAGTTGAGTGTACGGTATGCAAAATCTCTTTCTAAAAACTCGATAAAGAGCTCTTCAAGAAGAAAAGTGACATGGATATATTTTACCATTGTGAAATACCGGGAGGGGAAGCCGAAATCTAAAAGAGAATTATCTCCGGGCATAAGTTAGCCAGATTTGTAAAAGTAAAGATGCTCTTCACTCTACAGAAAAAAAAGAAGCAAAGTCACTACTTACAAAAGCCATGCTCCCAAGGTTTCTTCTCCACAAATTTCACCTGTGTCTAAATTTGATCGACCTACTTTCCGTTTTAGTGCATCCCAAACTGTTAACCTCTTTCCTAAATGGCAGGTTTTTACTCCTCCACTATTCAAACTAATATGAAATAGTACGCTTTTCCATTAGATCGAATTTGAGCTGGCACCTCATTACTCTACGCTCCTTGATAATCAACCAAAGGTAAATCAAAATGAGACAAATTTTGACTCAAATCTTTTCCTTTGGTTTGTTTTCCTTTTGGCTTCCCAGACACAGGGG